TGCAATCTCATCACCCCACTTTTATGTCGTTTATCATGAGACCTCTATCTTTGTCCTCACTCTCATAGAGTCAGATGTTCAAACTACCAGCTTCCTTAACCTACCTGATTAGTTCTCTCTCCATTTCTGACCATTCTCCTGTGTGTCCAGCTACAGTAGCATCATTTCACTAGGACCTGCATCTTGCTTCCTTGATCTTTTCTAAGTCTTCGTCTTTCTTTCCGTCCAAGCATGGATTCCATTTCAAACCTCTGCGTCGACCCCCAGTTCTCTCGGGTCTCATTCTGATCCTTGTCTCTCACACAGACCAAGTGAATCACGACTTAACAAAAAAAACATGCTTTCTTTTTTCTCCTTCTTCACATCATACTTCCCTTCCGACTGCAATCAATGCTAACAGCTATGCTGGATTCTCCGTTAGTGAAGCCACATGGAATGACAGAGAAACATACAGACACAGTTTTACACATTTGTAAACTCATCACATATAAATGGAGTATGGCCATTACGCGCCTTTTCCCCGCTTGTAGACTCACCATGTCCTCGACAACTCACTTTCACTCCCAGCTAACTTCTCCATTACATTCCTGTTTCAGTTTAACCTTCAAGTACGATGTTGTCTTTCATATCTAAAGGGCATCCAATTAAGGGAATTCCCTCTTGGAAGCCAGTATTATTAACAATGTTTCATATATTACTAATGAATAACTCAAAGTACTAATGATCATCTAGTCCATCAATAATTGCAATTTAAAAATCAAATAAAATTAATACATAGGCCTACTATAACATAAAAACAAACATAATAGGGAAACGCACACATTATACACAAAATATATACAAATGTACAACGTATTATAGACTTTGGTATTATATACATGATGTATACATGTTGTTGTGGCAGGTGACATGCCAGCCTGTTAATCCCAGTCAATCCCATAGCATGTGATTATGTGTGTGATTGTGTGCCTTGCGATGAACTGGAATCCTATCTAGGGTGTCCCCCTCCTGTCTGTCCCGTTCCTGCTGGGACAGGCTTGCGGCTTAATGCAGATACGCATTGGATAAGCGATTGTAAGAGATTGATGCATGTACTGTATGAATATTGCATAAACAGCAAATGCTCAGAATACTGACCTATCTTACAGATTATGGTTAGGCAACCTTTAATTTTTAGTTGAAAATAGGCTGTTTGCTTTACCTTAAATGGACATGTTGTGGTGGCAGGTAACATGTCAGCCTGTTAATCCCTGTCAATCCCTACGGAACCCCATGACCCAAGCATGCCTGGTGTCTGTAATTGCATTACTTTGAGGAATTTTATCCCTCTCACTACAACTAGCCAGGGTCTCTCTTCAATCTGCCTTGCAGAACTTGATGCAGTTGATACAGGTACACTCCACTTTCCCTCTCGAATAGAGTCGACTTAGGTTGACTTGACCGTGGTCTTTTCTGGCATGGTACACATCGTTTTTTGAATGGTTATTTAATGAGTCTAAGCATATCTTCCTAAGACATCTGTGGAGTTGACTCCTTCTGATGTTAAGCCTAGAGTCTGCACTGTATGACCTGTCAAAGACCTTGCATGGTTTACATATGTCTACAAAATACAGCCAGTGCCCGGGTTAAGAATATCCAACTTACAGACGACTCGTACTTACGAACGGACTGCCATAAAGCCTATTATATAAAAAATTCTGGTTAAATACAACGGTTGGAATAACGAAAAGCCATGTGGTAGCCATGGCAGCGCACTGTACCGCTGTACCCATGCTCCCTGTCCTGACCCAACATGACCTGTCCTGCACTACTTTGTGACGCTCGTGAAAACATTGTGTAGCTTTAGCAGTTCGGCAGCTAAAGGCACAGCACAGTACTACATGTAGTTACTTTTGTTATTACTGTATTATTATTACTGCTATTACATACTGTACTGTATTACTGTTGTTCTGATTCGCCTACAAATTCCATTTAAATACAGACTTAAGGATAAGATCTTGTTCTTAACCTCGGAGTTGTCTATACTGCTACCCATTCATTGCACAAGTTACAGTACACTGTCCCAGTGTCGTCGCACTGACCCAGATCCAGACATGTCTGCCAGTTGAAGGATTCTTACATCATTACCCATTTCCTCATATATGTTTAATAGAAATGACCTACACACTTATACTCTCGTGACTGTTACAACCTTGATTGCTATTCACTAATTCAGTGGCTCTAAATAATACAGAACACAAGTGTCTTTCTTTTTATTAATCTGCTATATCTTATTCTCATTTCTCCATACCCCTGCTGCCCATGTCTTTCATATCAATCATTATTGGTTAGCTGGCTGTCCTTTCTCTTATGACACAGACCCTATCATTCCCCTTTGTGGGTATCGAATAGCGAATTTTGTTAACTGGCTATGTCACTACAGTGATTACGTATAAAGCTTGTTTCTAAAGGCTGCACCTGGGTTCCTGAAAAAAAGAGTTGTCGTAAAAATTGTGGGTAGAACAATATAACAATATTAACACTTTTAAAAACCAGAAATGGGTTTCTATTATATGATATAGCTGTGGCACTGTTTTGTTAAGTTTTACTGTTTGTGACGTATACTTGTGAATGCAGTTGCAACTAATAATATTCATTAGTACTTTTTAATGCTGAAAAAATGCTGACAAAAATGTGAACAGATCAGTGTAGTATATTTATCATGCAATCAGCAAATTAAAACACAATTTAGCAACAATTGTCTAAACCTATTTGCCAAATCATTTTTGATCACGCTTTTGTTTTAGATGTGGCATTATCTACAGCAGGGGTCTCAAGCTCCAGTCCAGGGGGCCAGAACCCTACACAGTTTTTGGTTCACACTCATTTAACACACCTGATTCAATTCCTTGTGCTAATTACCACACAGCTCTTGAGCTGAATCATTTGTGGTGGAAGGGGGAAAGAATTAAGCTACACAGGGCTCCGGCCCCCCAGGACTGGAGTTTGAGACCCCTGATCTACAGTGATGTGACAGGGTACAGTAGCAGTACTCCTATTGCCTTTTTGGTTATGATTCACAGTAGCATTTACTCTTCTGTTGAATCTGTGCTAACACTATTCAGGGACAACAAAATATAAAAGCAATGTGATCCCTTATGCAACTTCAAAACAGTCTGAGCTGACTTTAGAAAAAAGGCAGAAGCTTCAGCTAGGAGATGCTAGCGCGCTAGCCGCAGCCTTAGCTCTGGGTCGTTTGAGGCCGTCAGCCATTACGGCTTCATAGGCTGGCCCCATGGTATGGGACTTGGCTTCCTGATCTGCCGAGGCTTTGCTGCAGGGACCCCCCCTTGCAACATCAATCATTACTAGATGGGGGGGTTCGGATCAGTGGCCGTGTCAGGGTGAGAGGGTGCTAAAATGGCCTCACCCCGATAAGCATGACAGGCATTGCTAATAAGAGGAAGACAAAGCCTCACTATGCAACCTGCATTAAACTATGTATGTGAGGACCAATGACTGAGCTTGGATCGGGGGCCAGATCAAATCTCCCCCCATCAGTAGCCAAAATGCACTGTTCGCCTCTCTTAATGACATATGTGACTTAAAACATCCTGCTAACCTACAGAGAAGTGCCATGTTTTTGCTTCTCTTCCCTGAAACCGAGATACGTGTCTGATATCTTGCTGACTTACGAGATCCTTGAGAAGGTCTATGACCTTTTTCCCCAGAATAGTGGTCCTCTCTGATGCCTTACCATTCAACAAGTCCTCCATACAGGTCATATCATTTTCTGATACAATGGATATTAGACCTGGGTGTGGGAGAGGTGGGCACTGCAAACACAAGGCTTGGTATTTCTACTGGGAAGCTAACCCACGAAGCAAGCATTACCCTTGTAATGTGAATGACAGACATGGTGAAGCTTGTTTTGGGGGATTCAATAGCTGTTTGCTCAACTACTTATATTCTGGTAGTATGTGCAATGGGCAGATAATTATGGACACGGGAAAAGAAATTGTATAGTAAAATAGCCACAAAGTCATTGCCCCAAGAGGTTGTAGTGAAATATACAGTAAATATTTATGTATTCTGAACTGAAAATTGTAATATGTAACAATGGCATACATTCTTTGACTTGAAGATAAACTGTAATCACGGTGAGTCATCAAGGTTTTTGTGTACCAGAATTGTCAGCCACATAATGAGCACAGTGAAGCCTTGGATCTCTGCTTCTCCAAAAGCAAAACTTTCTTTTACAGGCACCAAAATACACAAGCACAGAAAAAATACACAAGCAGGAATGTACGATTAGACTGGAATTTCTGCTCACAAATTGAATACTGCGTTTTAAAGAGTCACTTGTTTCCCGTACCCTAGGAAACTAAAACGTTAAAACTCTTGGTTCCGCAAATGAAGTTTCTAAAAGATTTATCATGAAGTTTTTGCTTAAATTTTTTAAAATATTTTTTCCGAGACGAAAATCAAGTTCTAAAACTCAGATCTAAATTTTATCCACTTAAAAACACACATATACTCATATTTCTCATTTGTCTTCGCATTTATTATAATTATTTCCCCCAAAAAGTGAAGATCTCTTAAATAAATAGGAATTTTGGTTGAGTACCCACATTCATGAGTACCCACATTCATGAGTACCCACACGGGAATCACAGAATTGCTGCTTTTGACTTGCAATACAATAAAAATGTTATTTATGTTATATTTAATCGGAAAATCCCCAATTTGTTCCTCAGAAATAAAAAAATGCTCCCATAAATAAAAATTTTAATTATAATAGCAATTAACTACAAAGTAATTTAAATAATCCGAGTGTATTATAACATAGCACTTGATGATGAGTAAATAAACGCTTCAAGGAAACCAAAAACACAATGGGGTACATTGGACGAGGGACAGTCTCATTATGCAAATATCAGTCAGTTTTGAAAGCTATTGTTCAATGAATCTGAGGTTAAAACAAAAAATAAGACAATTGAAGACAAGCGGGGGTCACTTACGGGTGCCATCAAATCGGGTAGCAATGGTGTCCAGGAAGGTGTTTTGGGGAGCAAGCAGACCCTTCATCACCGGCATCTTGACCTGGGAGAGGTAGCGGCTCCTGCAGAGTTAATCCATCCCAGGAGAAGAAGGGGTCTGGTGAGAAGGTGGGCTGCTGACCACCGTTGCTTTGCTCCAAAGGTAGAAGTAAAGGTGCCCCACGTCCTTCTTGAAGAGCGCTCAGCATGCGGTGTGTTTACTTCATGCCCAGGTATACATCTCTACACTCCCCGTGTGATGAAGCTCAAGGCGCCGCGCCGTCTGTGGAACCCATCAACTAAAGTGGCGGAAACTTGTGCTGAGAAGGAGAGAGAGTGCATTCACCTGCCATGTCTGGTACTGTGTGTGTGCTCCCTCCCTGTCTCCTGCCCTCTCTCCCTCCCTCCCTCCCTCCTGTTGGTAGAGCGGAGCGCCGCGGAGCAGTTCTGGCTTCTCAAGCTTTCTCTCTCTGCCTCACTCCGCCCGCCGTCTGCCTCTCGGCTCCTGTTTTCATCCCCTTGTGTTTCTGTAGATCTCAGCCAATGAGCAGCAGTTTCACACTCGCAGTTCTCCAGAGAAATGTATCCTCACGTGGGTGATGCTCGGGGGTGGGGGGGGGTGGTCACACCCCTACAACTATTCACAGACTTCTTGTTCATCAGAAAATCTATGCATCTCTGAAACTGTTCAAACTACTTCGAATCTGCAGCTGGTAGAAAAATCCTTCTGCTTCTCAGTCTATCACATATTTTGTTCTTAAAATGTTGCAGGTTCTGAAACATTTCGGTGGCAAGTTTTGGCAAATGGAAACAGAACATTTCCTATAAAATAATGAAAGATCTTAGATCTTTTTTTGTTTTACTCTGCTTTGCATGAAAAACACTGTTTTGCACAAAATATATGTTAAAATGTGTACATGGATAGGAACATGAGAGACAAACAACACAATAAAAACACCTAGATGGGGTTAAAATGTAAAACTGAAGCCTTCTTTTATTCCATAGTTTACTTTAAAATTAACAATAGATTTTTGTATTATAATCCTGTCCTGGGTTGTTCCCTGCTTTGTCCCTGTAGCTTCCAGAATAGGCTCTAGACCGCTGTGACCTTGCATAGGACAAGTGGGTATAGAATATGGATGGATGGATTGTAATCAATCATAATGCTATTTGAGGACTATATATTGTTTAATTAACAAACACAGGACTACAAACAGCAAAAGAAACAGGGAGACTTGCCTCTTCCTATGTGTCTATCTGTTGTACTCAGAACATGGAGGGAAAAAAACTGCAGCTCTCACAAGAAAAATGGACCCTGGTCACAGCCAGTGAGTGGCGCAGTGCAAGAAGCCGACAGTTTGTAGAGGAATCTCGCTGAGTGAGGAAACTGACAAAGGAACAGAGGCAACATTCCCTCATGGCAGAGAGAGAGGGAGGGGGAGAACACAGGGTTTCCTGACAATGTGGATCATTTTCATTATTAATGATTCCTATTGTGCCTCCACCCTGTAACATGTCAACTTGCAAGCGGCCAGTTCCATTATGGCTTCTGCTGTGGAAAGTCCTCTTTGTAATGGACCCCCCACCCCCAGCTGTAATCAAACTGATTGCGTGGTCCTCACAAGTAAGGTAACTGGAGTCATGCCCCAGGCACAGGGCGACTTGGGGCAGTATCACGAGCTCTGTGACCCCCCCCCCCCATTCTCGCTCCACTTATCAGCACAGAGAAGCAGTGAAACAAGACATCTTGGCATCCCCGTGGAATTCATAATTAGACGTGTCAGGCCCGATTCAAGCTGGTGCGCTGATGAGGATGAGGTCCTCGGCACTGGGAGACAGGAGAGCCACAGACAATGGGAGGGGGGGCAGGGGGGGAAGGGGGGGCAGGACTCCCAGACAGACTGAAGAGATCCCCATGTTTCTCTGTGAGGAGACACTCAAGGTGATTGTGCTTCCTGACAGTCAGAATCAGAGACTGTGCAGGGGAGCCAATCCTGCTGCAGTACTGTCAGTGACAAACAGCAAGCCAAGCAATATGGCTTCCGGGGGGCGGGGGGTGATTTAAGAAAAGGCCACATCACCCGTTACTTCGTCATCGTCGCTCTGCCTCGTTGGCCACACATGAGCAGTTCTGAAGGAAGCTTTGACGGTTGTCTGTGACCGTCACTGCAAGTGTCACGACTTGATAAAGCAGTAGGCAGGACAAGTTGGGGGTGTTTTAGCTTCAAAACTCAGAGAAAACCCTGCATGCTTATAGCAAACAGGCGGAGGGGATCTCAGCAAATCCACATCCTCAAATCCTCATCTTACCTTACAGAACAACCTCTTCGGCGACATCCCATAGGAAAGCATTGTGGAACATGTTTCTTACAATAAAGATTTTTTCTAAATTATTACAATTAATTTGTTAAATTCTCCATAATATACTGCAATGTTTCCCAATCTGGTTCTCAGGAACCCACAGACAGTCCATAGCATGTTGATTATTATGCTGATTGGTTGATTGGCTCACTCCATCTTACTGCTGTCACTCTCTTACCGTAAACTGGCTCTTCACATCATCTTATAATGCAGCTCTGTCACAGTCATTACTAGAGCTGAGGACCCAGTATGACAAGCACAATTAACATTGTCAACATACAAAACACCCTTTTGCTTTCCAAATCTGTTGATATAATTCAGTCGACACTGATTGAATCCTCTTCAGTTGCTTGTAATATTTCTAGAGGAACTCAATCTATTCCCCTTTGGCAATGTTCTCAAGGCTAGTCTGACCTCTTCTTGAATTACTGAAGGTTTTTCTATGTACCTGATCTCATTAGATGTATCTTGGGAGATCATCTGTGTACTACTTCCATCACTGCTTGATCTTCGTATCATGTATTGTAATTTGCCAATGGATGTCCTTTAGAAACACCAACTTGAGGTTGGGATTTCTTTCTATCTACATGGATCTTCTGAAAAACAGCCATTGCTTTCCATTTTTATTACTGTTACGGGTGATGCTGTTGTAATATTGGTTTTTGTCTTTTTCTTTTTAACTTTATGGAATTTGTGACTCGATAGAGATTCAATTTAAACCGTATATGTATAATGCTTCTTCTACTCTGAATGTCATGAATGTCATGAAAGTAGTTCTGCTTTTGTCACCTTATACTCTGGCCCCAGCAAGGGGATGGAGTTAATCGGTGATGAAATAAAGGACAGGTGACCTGCTATGTGGACCTTGCATGTCACTCATTTGCTCCTTGGTTTCTCCTACCTACTAAATTTAATTAGCGCACGACGCTGACAGTGGGCTTCAGAAGTGTCTCCTGTGACGCTGGAGTCGTCTGGTGTCATGTTTATGAAACCGGGTCAATGAACAGAACAGGAGGGAACATGTAACCCTGTATGGCTTTCATGCAGGTAGCTAAACAAACATATCTGAACTGGTTTAGCTTCTCCTAGTGCTCAAAACTGATGCCGGTGACAATCCAACTATCATTTCACAATTTGTTTCAATGACCTTCTATGGTGTAGTATACAGAAAACGTGCAAAAAAAAGTCAAGTGCAAGAAAAAGATTGAAAATAATGTGAATACACGAATTAATAATAATAATGTTAAATATTATACTAATTGCCCAGTTTCCATGCTGTCATGTGTAAATAAATGTGTAAATCGTTTTTCTATAAGATATACACAGAATAGAAAACATAATATGACAGAATATTAAATACAAGAGAAAGAGCTACTGTACTCCCAGGCTGCTGTTTATTTCTGAGAGAAAATAAAATGAGCAACGTCCCCGTTTTGCTGCCAGGAAACCGAAGGCCAGTTGTACTTGAATAGCTCTGCAAATTTTTCATGGAATTACACCCAAGGGTTGGAGGCCTGTTGATTAAGGTTCAGGTAAGGCAATTCCTCAGAATTAGACAATTAGTTTGGCTTTCTGATGGCACTCCTATTTATCGTTACCATTGTCATTCTTATTGTTTATTATTTGTGATAGTTCCTTTCATTCTCACACAAAATTAGATCTCAAGCATATCAGATTCCAAGTTCAGCAGTGCCAACGTTCTCTTTAAAAATATACGACTATCCACTAAATGTAGGTATTATTGTGGGGTTAATGCCGGTCGTGTCATAGGATACTGACACCGTGGAGAGTTTCAGCACCATATGAACGGACAGCAGACACTTACACTCAATCAAAAAGAGGAATTAAGCTGTGATACTTTCCAATGAGACATGGATGGTTAGCTGTGTTGATGGAGGCAGGGAGGGTCACGTTTAAATCCTGGGCTCAATCAGGGAAAATGGAGGCGATCTAGGCAAAGCAGATTCAGGAAATGAGAAGGTTTGGTCCTGGTCGGTTTGGCTTATCACTCCTTCCCCAGACTGGCTGCAGAGGATTATGAGTGTTTTAAGGTCAGATTAGTGGGTCTCAAACTGTGGTAGCAGTAGTATGCGGAGTCCCCCCTAGTGATACACAAAGGTACCAGGTAATAATTTTTACTGTTGCTACCCCCCCTCACCCCATGCGCTTCACCATTGGGAAATGAAGAGCCTCAAACAGTATGTGGTACTGTATGTGGTGTAAAGAATCTGAGAACTACTGGTATATCATAACCCAGAGAATGCAATCCGGACCCTGGTGTTTCAGCTCAGCCACCTTCTATAGGCGCTGACTCCAGCAGGATGGGAAAGAGTCCCGACAGACTGTGGACTTGGTAATGATGGAGCATTTCCTCCAGAGTCTGCTGGGGACCAGGCAATTTGTCAGGACTGCCAAATCACCTCAACCAAAACGGCAATCCAGAAGGAGGGCAGGGTCTGGGGCGGCACTGACCCCAGTCAGCAACAGACATCCACAGAGAGCCTAGGAGTCCAGGAGGCCCAGCAAAGAGGGGAGACCCCAGAGGATTCCAAGGAGATCCTCTACACCCACTGGTGGAGCCCACACCAACTGACCTCCAAGCTCAGTAGACCAAGATAACCTTGCTGTGTGGGACCTCTTAGCCCCTATCCCTTCCGGTCCTCCTGCCAGGAAAGGACGTCACTATCATGCTGGACTCTGTGTACCTTCATGGATGTGAGACAGGCTTAACTAAATAGACCCAGATGGTTGTGCTGGAAGGAGAGCCAAGGATGACAGGTTTACTCCCAACCCAATACTGCTGAATGGTAAGTTGTATTTCTCCACAGCCCAGTAGAGGGAGCAGAAGGAACTGCTGGTAGTGTCCCAGTTTGAGGTTGACACATGAACTTCGCCCATATCCACCCTATGGCATGGCAGCAAGCAGCTCTGGAACACTGAGGAGGGAATCTGAGTCCATTTCCACCGGCTGGGCCTATGGAGAGAAGTGAGGAATTCTAACGCTCTGTGTCCCACCTGCTAGGGGATAACCCTCAACTCCCTCCAGCTCCTCTCTTGCCCCTGCAAATCAACAATGTGGGGGATAGACCTGGTGGGCCCACTGCCATAGTTAGCCGGGGCCACCAGTACTTTCTAGCACTAGTGGATTATGCCATGCGATGCTGGGAGGCTGTGGTGCTAAGGTAGGTGGCCGCCAGTACCATTGCCTAGGAACATGGCCAAAGACGCCTGAGAGTAACAGCCGTCAAGCTACAGGACTGGGATTAAGAGTGTGCAGCAGGTGCAGGACTGGGCCCCACCCCAGGTCAGGAAGCATATCGCATCAGCCTCGAGAGAGCAGCCCAGAGACCAGGTCCATCTCCTGACCCATAATGCTGCCTGCACATTCCTGGCAAACCGGTGGGATTGGTCAGCTAAGGTCCAAGTAAGAACTGGTTTTCCCTTCTCCCTCGCCACACTATGGTGATCCAGCATCATACAGAAAATCCTTTCTTGCCATTTGCTTGTTCCCCCTGTGTCGTGAAGGATCCCTCCTGCACTCCAAAGTTAGGTTACTCGCCATCGATAAATAGCCCATTGCGTGTACATTACTGTGGAAAAGTCTTATGCAGCCAAAGAATATGTTTCAATGATCTCTATGCTAGTATACAACTATTTTGCAAGTCAAAGTGTGTCAGCTTAGCCATTTCAAAACAGCTGCTAAAATCACCCCATTATGTGCAGCAATCATCCCACACACCCATGTATTATTTGACTCGACTACTAGCACATCTCATATAGCTAATCAATCTCATTGACTTTTTTTAAACTAATTAAGTTACTTATTAAGTGAGCTGGTGGTGAAATGTAATGAATACTGTATATGGAATGGCTGGGGTGCCCCTGAGGAGATGTTTGGGGACTGAAGTCATGTTTATCTAGGAGTTCCTCTACTGACAATTAGATATCAGTAACTTTTTGGAGTACAGAAGAAATTTTTACTTGTTTTTTTTGCATTACTCTTAACTTGCTTATGTTCTAATGTTAAACTGTGTATTTGTTCTGAGCAAATGTGCACTGACTAGCTACCCAGACAAACAGCTTTAAACATTTCCTTTAACTGCCAAAGACCTTTCCACAGTACTGTGTACTTGCCCTGCCAAGGACTGTTTCATAGCCTTCCGCTTCTACGACCTTGATCAGGGTTACAGAATGGATGGATGGTTCAAATGATTAATAAGTGAGCTTAGATGGGAAAATTCCTCCCCCATTCAAAATACAAATTTAAGAATTACTGTTATCCTCTTACTCTGCCTTTCCTCTCCTTCATTTAAGAGGCTTATATGGCATTAAGATCTATGGTGTAATGAAGGCAGACAAGGCTAGATAACGGTGTACAGTTTTATGGTAAATTAACAGGGCAAATATGCAAAGGTTCTGTTTTCAACCATACAACATATAAGCTTTCTATATCAGAAAGCAACGATCAGGTTCTAAGTCTAAAGTAAAAAATTCAATTAAACCATCAGCTAAATGAGTCAGTGAAAATCCAGTGCTGTAATTTCCCATTTAATTGTAGCAGTCAAATATACTTCTGCTTAAGTCCGTTTATCGTTTAGGTTTACACGCCATTTTGAGCAGCTGCAGGGTAATATGTGCCTCAGCATATTTATCTCACGCCTAGAGGGCAGATATATTTTTAAATCTTTGACAGTTTCTTTGTTATTGCATTGGAATCATTTGCTGGGATCTGCTTCTGTGTCTACATGTTTTTTAGTTTTATGGAATCTCCTGCCAGAATTGCAGACTTTGAAAAAAAAAAAAAACTTACGATGGCAGACCCACAAAATAAAACGCCTGATTTTTTAAGTTAGCCAGCTTAAAAATAAGTTGATATTAAAAATAAGTCAATATTAATTTTCCATCAGTTACAGTGTTCTTGTGGTTTAGTGGGAGGCACCATTACTGTATCTCACACCTCCAGGGTTAGGGGTTCATTCCTGCCTGTCTATGTATGGATCTTGCATGGTCTCCTTCTGTTCCTCTTAGTACTCAAGTTTCCTTGCATAGTCCAAAGACCGAACTATTAACTAGTGACACAAAATCGCCCATGCTGTATGAGCTCCATGACATCCCATCCAGGGTGTCCCCCTGCCCTGTATCCTGTGATGGACTGGCATCCCATCCAGGGTGCCCCCCGCCTTGTGTCCTGTTCTACCTGAGACAGGCTTCAGACTCACCATGACCCTTTATTGCAGGGGTGTCAAACTGCAGTCCTGGGGGGCCGGAGCCCTGTGTAGCTTAGTTCTTTCCCTGATATCCCACACAAATGATTCAGTTCAAGAGCTGTGTGATAATTAGCACAAGGAGTTGAATCAGGTGTGTTAAATGAGGGGAAAACAAAAAATGTGCAGGACTCTGGCCCCCCAGGACTGGAGTCTGACACCCTGAAGTACTGGATAAGTGGCGAGAAAATGGTTTAATAAATGTTTTGTCAGTGCAAGAATGGAATGAGAGTGGAATGAGTGTGGTGTGCTAACTATCACATGTAAACAAAAATGTGTGTGTGTGTATGTGTTTGGTTGTGCTGATAAAGGGTACATCTGCTGGGATGTGATGTGTACTGTGTGATGTGTGTGTGTGTGTGTGTGTGTGCTGATAAAGGGTTCACCCGGTGGGATGTGGTGTGTGTGTGTGCTGACAAAAGGTTCACCCGGTGGGATGTGATGTGATGTGTGTGTGTGTGTGTGTTTGCGCGCTGATGAAGGGTACATCCAGTGGGATGTGATGTGTGTTCCATCCTAAACAGAAAAAACATCTCATGCTTGGTTGTTAGGATGGGTAGTTCACACTTCCTACTCAAAGGAACCTTTAGAAATAAAAATAAAAACAACACATTATTTTGTTGAAATGTACTTCTTATACTTCATGACACCAGCAGACAGGTCACATTCCGGAAACTCCACATTTGCTCTTTCTAAAAGAAAAACCACATTCCTTTTCTGCAGACTGAATGTAGGAACAAAAGGTTACTGATGTCCTGTAACGGTTAATTCGTGTTCCTGAATCCCTGCATGCCAGATGATATACCCCCTGGACACGAATGAGTGCTAGTGAGATTGAGTAAATACATAGCAGACATGAATAGTCAATATAAGGTGCCGTCGTACCTTTTTAAGGCTAATCATATGGCACTCTCAGGCACTCTTAGTTCCGTATGTTTAGCACCCTGCCTAATCTGGCTCTGATCAGTTTAAAAATGTAGCATAATTAAACTGCACAGACAAACATCTGTGTATCATTATCGGTGCTCCTTGTTTGCATGTTCTGTCCATGTTTGCAAGGCTCATATTCCAATAAGGCTCGAATATGTCAAGAAAAATAGCGAAAAAGGAGAAAGACATTACGCACAGGCTTTTACATTACAGACATTTACAGTTTAGCAAAACAAATTCTTACCATGTGGAATTTCTGTTTGTTAAATTTAATCTTTTCATCAGAGTTCATCTAATCACAGAAACTAACCAGAGTAATACAAGCAATGTCAGATCTAATAGGAAATAGGCCATTTCTAAAAATACCACCCTAGATCCAGTCCAGGACGCTGTAGAAGAGTAGGACACATTAACGAAATAGATTGTTATGACAGATTGCATTACTCAACTGTTGCCCGGCGCCCTTTTAGACAGTGTTAAAGTCTGATAAATATTTTTACTTTATTTTCAGCAAATGCAACAATTTGACTTACATTGTAACAAATTTTGTAGTTTCAAAAAAAGTTAATGGTGGCTTTTGGAAAATCACATTCGTCTGGCTAGACTGAGCTATGCTGTGGCTCAAGGTTGTCTCACTGTCAGAATGTTTATTTCATGAAAAACTCAAGTCAAGTTGAATATAATTGGTCTTGTTTAATTATTCGGTGACTAGGCCGCTCAGACTATGGCTTGGAGGCTGAACCCAGTGACATGGTTTAACTAATTTAAACCCACACAATAAGCCAATTTTCTCAATGTAATTTAATAATATGTGTATGCTGGAAAAAAATGGCATTAACAGTGTTAATAAAAGGGTTACTCTGAGTAACAGAGGCTGAGATGCACAGTTGAATAGTCAGACCTCCATCTATCTTGAAAACACTTACGGTGGTGAAGGTCACGAGGGGGCCGAGAGCCTGAGGCAGGGGGGCATGCTGGATGGGATGCCAGCCCACTCAGCAATCACTCTGCCAAACAGAACTATTTCATTTCATTTGAACGTAAAAGATAATATTTGCAGTAGCATATTGATACTATGGAAGTATCAGACATGTCTGAATATGTATCATCAGTACCATCAACAGGCACAGTCAGGCATAAAATTCTCAACGTCCCTAATAAAAGTGTATAAATAAAGAAAAACAAAAGTCTGGATTTTTCTGGAAATTGACTTTGTTAAAAATGATCCAAACATTATAAACGCCCATTGTATTCATTTGAAGAGAGACAAAACACAAGCGTACACAATATCGATAGGGCTCTGTTTTGATGATCTAATGCAAAGCAGAAAGGGCAAGATGCCGGTAAGATTCTTGGGCGTGTCCAAAATCATTTTGCTATTTTGACTGCAGAATAACCAGACTTTACGCCAGCGGAAGGCGAATAAAGGTTGTCCTGACTCTCTTAGGCCCAACCCCAGACTATACCCTCGACAATAGGCCTTCATTATGAGTTACGCTCACATTGAGTCGCCCTCACAACATGCCCTATATATGCACTAAAACTGATGGAAACTGATGGAAATTTTTGGATTTGAGACAGACTCACCCTCACTCCACCTTCAGTCTCCTATACAGGAGATGAAATGGCTCCCATAAGAAGTATTGTCCTCTTATAATATGACTTAAAATCAAAAAAGTTTTCCACTATGAGAAGACGACAGTTAAGTGGTCTTATCATCCTGATTTTAAGCAAAGTTTGTACTCACTTTATTTCATTACACATATATAAATATATATAAATAAAAACCCTGGGCCAGACTTTCAGCAGTGTGAGGCATCCTCTTCTGATTAATATCGTGTTTGTGAACATGAACAGTCTTCAAAAATGTAACATTATGAATCATATGTGCATTTAAACATTCAGTCGCATTAACTCAATACTAACTTGATATGAAATATTTTATTTTAATATGTGATTATTTTCTTACATTTATATGGCGATGTATTGTCCTGAATGTTTTTGCACTGTTCTGTTTTCTGCGTGCAAAGCATCGTGGGATATGAGAGTGGTAGTTTAGTTGCTTGCATCGCTGCTGACTCACTTCATGAGGACACAACGGGCCACTTCCCCTTAGTCCTTTGAGACACACTTCAATATGGCGACGGGTCTCAGGAACGCGTAAAAGAAGGTGAAGTGTCTAGTGACCGGTTTGGGATTAGGCCTCAATTAATTAGGCGTGCTTTGGGCGTAACCTGCATGGGCGTAACCTGCATGAACCAATCGGAATGGCACATCACCTCACCTTTAAAAGGCTGCAGCGCATGAGCTATGCCGGATTGCTATTACAATGGCCTGTTTGCCTGGGAAGCCCGCTTGCCTGCTTTCCACCAGTGGAAAACTGGGCCCATTGATACTCTGCTGGGAAATTGCCTTGGCTGGCTAACTTGCCTTGTCACAGAAATCTTGCCTGAGCTGGTTTTTTGTCTCAATACAGCTTAGCCTTTATACTACATTTCCTGAACTAATGAGTATGCTTCACTACTGAATCCTTTATTCATTCTGTTTAGCAAAAATCAGTTCTAGCTGGGTTCCTTTGTATAGTACTTTGATTAGTCTATTATAGTATCCCGCTGTATAGTACAGATCATTTAGGTCACTGTTCTGTTACTGTTCACTCCATTGGTTTTGTGATGCATGGTCTTGTTTTTTACAGTTAATTTGTTTAAGTGCAGCAAGAAACCTTGCTGACTATTGACTAGACATGAGTCATTCATGAATAATGTGTTCTATTTGAACAAATCATTTAAGTGAACAATAGGATCTCTGTGACTACATTAGTTCATTCAGTTTGTTCAGTTCATTCAATGAGCAATTCATGGTTCATTTCTTTCACAAACATAATCAGTGAACTAGATCACGCAGTTCATGACCAAGAAACTCTCTCTGTCTCCTCCTACTGGTGTAATAATGTACTGTATGCCTGAGTCAGTATGACTAATATCATTTAAGATGAAGTGTAATTCATAAAATAAAATACTTATTTTTATTTTATATTACAAAAAATATAATTCATTTAAGTTTCCATGTGACCCTGACCAGGGTAAGTATGTCAAAGATGGATGGAATTTAAGTTTCATGAGACTAAATTAAAAAATGTAACACAATTCTATTACACATAAAAGGAACCCACCCCTCAAAGGGAAAATATGTAAGGGGTACCTGTTTAAAGCAGATGAATTCAACTCTACCATTGACTTTACTGCACTCTCATTTGAAACTGATTTATCTCCAGCAATCACAAGTAAACAGCACTGGAGCTGGTTGATACAACACTAACATTCAAATCAACTCACAAAAAAATGTTTGTAAAAAATTCCGCATTTGGGACTTGGACGCCATGAACGCACTCAGTTCAAAAGCCACAAAGATGAGGAGTGAACTGATACTTTACAGGTTCCTGAGATCAAAACACCCCTTTGATATTCAAATACTTCACTTTGTTTCACGCCAGCGCAAGAATCGAGGAAATAATTAATGGTGAAATTGGCACAGTCAGGAATGAGTGTGCTTTTGGGTCAAACTGTGTGAATTTTAATCTAAACTTGTCCTGAGAACTGACTTGTGTGCTGGAGAAAAATGGAAAGTGGTCGTTACTCTACTTTTGTGCAAACAGTAACACATCAGGAAGTCACATTCTTGAGGTGCCTGCACATTTTAATCAGTTATCAAATGTTCTTTTCCATGACATTTCATATAGATGGCCATCTGATTTGTACAGTTTGGGGACAAGTTGTTTTTTTCAGGGGGTGGCTACAGAGTGATTCTTCTCATTACCCTAGCATGTTAAAAAAAGTTATCATAAACCTGCACATATGCCTGGTTTATTGCACACCAAAGCAGCCTAGTTATTGCAATGGATGAGCCAATAATGGAACTTTTAGAGTCCGTTTTTAACAGGACAATGTTTTTGAAGCTGTGCATAACATGTAGGCCTCACGGCCGTTTTCTTAGTTACAGATTGGCTGCTGAGATTTAAGTGTTCTGAGTCTTTCACGGTGACCCTGGGCCACCATGACCATTTCTCTGGGACCATGCTGTATCTCTTTCCCAAGGTGAGAATGCCCTCTGATTGGTCCCTCGAGCCATGCAGGAGCCGGTAGAGGTGGCTCCGGAAGTTTGGCTGGCCAGCCTTGCGTTTCCCCAGAGTCAGGATCCCAGCGCCGTGGTTGCCCACACCAAGGAGGAGGTCATGCAGGCGACATGAACAGCTCCTGTCCTTGCAACAGGGGCGAATTTCATTGGCTTCACCAGAAAAGTATAACAGCACTGTGATGAGGAAGGAGGCGGCAAGTTTCTGTGGGAGCCAAGCAAATAGAAAAGCAGTGTGGATAATGCAAGTCTAAGTATTTCAAGGTACGTTTTTCTTGCATGTCATTATAAACTAATCTCCCACTGCCCATCATTTTTTTCATGGAATGCAAGGAGGCTACCATAGGAAGCACTAGACATGAGGCAGGGGACACCCTGGAATTCAGAGACCTCAATTCAGTGTAAATCGACAGAAACATGCAAACTCCACAAACATCAAATAGCCAGCAAATGACCTCACAACCCTGCATGTGTGAAGTTACAATGATAACTAGTGTCCCCCAACCGTTACTCTTCAGGGTACTCCGACAGTTTGTCTGTGTACCAGCACAAAATGCACAAAATATTTGACAAATTTTATTATTTTTTTTCTTTCCTAATACCATAAAAGTATTCCCAATTTGATATATTACTTAACTATATTTAATCCAAATTGTTTTTTCTGCAAAAAGCATTGTACAAAATGACTGGATTTTAATCCGAGAATTGTGCCCTTCTCTAGCATGAGGTAAAATGCAATACCGGCTTTGGTGCATACTGGGGCTACTAGGAAGGTTTGTCTTACCTTGGATATAGAAGGTCCCATCTTGGTTTAGAGTGTAGAAAACACACAATTCATTTCCCAACAAATGCAAAAATCTGTCTTCTGGACTTCCTCTGTTTTGTCTTGCCTGTTGACTGATTCTTTATATACCCAACTACAACGTCAGTAAATTTAATAAGCAGTTGATTTCATTATTTCTACAGTGTTTTGAGGACAATATAGGGCAGGAAAAAAAACACTACCAACGACCATCACCTGGAAACAGTCATTATTAGCTTTGCTCCTATTTTGGTCGGCAGAATGAAAATAGCAATGATTCACCTACATATTTTGATCTTTTTACTAGTGACTCATAATTAGAATGTCCCTTGTTAGAGCATACTGTTTGGATCAGTGCTGACAGTAATTGGGCTTTAATTGGAAGATGAAACCATAGTACTGCTGAAGGCATGAGGCAGACAAAGGGCAAAGGACAAATAATTAAGCGAAAATGCTAATGGTCATTCTTGGCTGACGCTGTGACTGAGAACGCATCGCAGAAATTATTATTCCTTCTGCACTGCCAATAAGGGAACGGAAACAGAAGGCAAAGAGAAAATGTCGCGACTGCACTAAGAGTCTGACTTAATAAACAGAGCACTAAAAGCGTATGCTTGTTTTTGAATGAATGAATGAATGAATGAATGAATGCTACATTTACTGTATGTAGTATTTTTCAAAACAAAGCGCTTTACAGAATCAATGGAGAGCCACTTGAACCACCATCACTGTGCAGGACCCACCTGAATGATGTGACAGCAGCCATTCTGCGCCAGTACGCTCTCCGGACAGTAGCTTAGGTGGTGAAGTGGCAGGAGAGAATTCATTGGGATCCGCACAGACCACAGGATGGACTCCCCTGTCGGCCACATGAACGCCTTGTTTGTTGCAGTCCCTGATAATTAGCAGGACCAGAACTTCTGAATATTATTCTTTCACCTCTTGGCCTCCATTCAACTTGGGGATGGTCTATGATATCAGAACTAGTGCATTTTCCCAGTCCTAAGGGTTAGGGTTAGGGTTAGGCTTAGGGTTACTTAGGGTTAGGGTTAGGCTTAGGGTTACTTAGATTGATGTTTATTTTTTGGTGGACAGTTTAACTTGGTGTTTTAAGTATCTTATAAATCTTTGCTGAACTGTTTGAAGGTGGTTTTAAGGTGTGGTACCTTTTTTTTGGGGGGGGGGGGTGACATTCAGCAGAATTTTTCAGGGACTTAGCCATGTCTTTGTGTGGCCCTGGGACTAGTAACCAATTCAAAATCACAAGACACAGAGGGAGAAACTCAAAAAACCATGCAGGAGTTGGAAAGCGACTGGGTGTGGCTGAATGGACACCTGGTTTATACGTTCTGTTAACTACTGTACAATCTGCAGTAGTTATAAAATACAGTGGTACCTCAGAACTCGAACTTAATCCGTTCAGAAATCCGGATCAAATCCTAAAAAGTTTGAGTTCTGATCGAATTTTCCCCATAAGAAATAATGGAAAACCAATTAGTTGGTTCCCGGCCCCCAAAAATTACACCTAAATATGTTTTTTTAGCATTTAAACACAAAATGAACTGGATAAAACAAGAAGAGCATATACTGTACTAAACATATCTAAGCACATTTATTCATTTATGAACGACGTTATCACAGCGAATGCGAGGCTGAGACTGAAGCGTTACCCTTTGTTTCCACTGAGAGACGTGCTGCGTGACTCATTTCCCCGCATGTACAAGTTATCTTAGGTCGGCGTTCACGGTTTGACTTCTGAGATTCAGATCGAGTTCTAGGTAATTTTTTTTCGAACTGGTTGGTTCGACTTTTAAGAAATTCGAGATATAATGAGTTTGAGAACTGAGGTACCACTGTATAACCTTTTATTATTTGTTTTCCATTGCTTCTCAGGCCAAACTCGAGTCTATTTATTTATTCAGGGTTCAAAATGATGTTTCTTTTATGTGGTGCGTTATACAGGTCGTCGTCGACTTAGGACTGTGACCGGTTCTGACTGACCTGTCATAAGTCGATTTGGTCGTAAGTCGGCCATTTATTTTATATGCAAAAATCGTCATATGTATAGTATACTGTGTAATAAAATGATATCATCTTTAAGTCATTGTTTAGGGTTACCGAACACACAACAACCCGACATGTTAACGTTTTAATTCAATGTTTAAAGTTTGCTAATCAGACAGATGGTTGTGACAAAACGTCACTTCCATTTCCTAAATGCACACGCATGTTTTTGATGACATTGGCTGTAAAAGGGTCTATAAAAGTATAGCACATAATTTACATTACGTAATACTTGATAATGGTAATAACTATGTTACTGGTTTATGTATTAGCTATGCTGTATTTTTTATCCTTATTTAGACCAGGGTTTCTCAATCCCGGTCCTCGGGGACCACCAGACGGTCCATGTTTTTGCTCTCTCCCAATTCCCTGCCAATTGGGAGAGAGCAAAAACGTGGACCGTCTGGTGGTCCCCGAGGACTGGGTTGAGAAACCTTGATTTAGACTATGTCATATAGTCTAGGTGTGTAGTAGGCTATATCATCTAGGCTTGTGTAAGTACTCTATGATGTCACAATGACGGATCTCTCAGAACACACCCCCGTCGTTAAGAGACACATTTTTGTATTGATTCTGGTATGTGAATCTACACTGTACATATATTATTTCTACTTTATATAGGCTGTGTATTTATCATATAATTCCTGGTTTTACAATATTTTAGTGTTATTTTAAGTTTTATGTATTATTTGGAATGATATACAGTACTGTGTAAAAGTCTTAGGCAGTCCAAAGAAATGTTTAAAGCTGTTTATCTGGGTAGCAAGTGTACTTTGGCTTAGAACAAAAAACACAATTTAACATTAGAACATGTGCAAATTAAGAGTAACACAATAAAAACTAGTAATAATTTCTTCTGTTTTCTAAAAAGTTACTGATATCTAGTTGGATGGCTAGATGAACAGCCCTTCAGTTCCCAAACTTCTAATTAGGGGCACCTCAGCCGTTTCATGATTTTGTTAAATTTCACCAACAGCTCAATTAAATAATTAAATAAAATGGACTAAAAAGTCAGTGACAGATTGACTAGCTAGTGGCCAAGTCAAGAAATACATGGCTGCACTGGACGGTCGCTGCAAATAATGGGATGACTTTAGCAGAGGTTCTGAAATGGCTAAGCTGACACACTTTGACAGGCATAATATCATAGTTTTACACCAACACGAGGACTGCTTTTTCATTTTATGCCATTTCAGCTTTCGGAAGGTTTTGTTGGAATGTTCTACTTTCAGATAGCGGGGGAAACTTTTTAAAAATTTATTTTTAAAAATAAATGGTAATAATCCACATTTTAAGTTCCACTGTCCTTTCCTTCACTTGGGATAAAGTTTTTTAATTTCCTCTTTGGAATGGCTGCCACCTGGTGGGGAAAATGTGTAAAAGCAGACTAAGCAGCCATTTATAGTCACTTGGAGAAAAAGGCTATGATTATTGGGTTTTTCCAACTGAATGGCGATGACTAGATTATTGATAATACAAAAAAGGAAGACCAACAAACAATTAAGCCACAGTTAATTTATTACAGGTGAAGATAATGCAGAAATCTTAATTACCTGATGATAAAGTAAATATTTGTTGCAAAACTGAGACATGTTTACAGTAACAATATTCCATTATTAATAATAATAATAACAATAATAATAATAATAATAATAATAATAGATATGGATACAGTTTGGGGAAAGAGTAATCAGAATTGTTAATAAAATGAATGATACAGTATCCTGTATTAATGTTAGATTTTTATCCTGACAGCCGAAAAACACCACATTATTTCCAGAAATCTCTTTTTTGATTTTTCTCTGATTGAAAACATGGCTAACAGCACTACGAACACTGGAGAGAAACTATAAGTCACTGCATATGCTATAAATTAAAGACCCTCGTGACAGTTAATTCCAATAGGTCAGTTAGACTGGTGCACTCAGTACAATAACCGATGGAGGCGACAACACTGCGGTGCCACTGAGATCCATCCTGTGGGACGGACTTCAGAAGGTCTAAATGTGCTGCTATGGTGTCAAACGTGCACCAAGAAAGAAAATCCATGAACGAATGGCCAACAGAGGCAGTGTTTTCATTCCTCTCCAGACTCTGCGATGGCTGCATTTACACTCTTTCATTCCTGCAAACTGACTCTGCAATGCAACAGATGGGCTCCCAGTCTGAGAGGCGCCATGACTGGGGGAAAAATTTTGGAAGGAGCAGCTAGGTGGGGGCGCCTGAGAACTTGCAGGGGGGTCCGGAACCCTGAACTTAGGCCCTAATTCAGGTTGTGAGAGGACAGCCATCCCATAATGAGATGCTGCCCCCCTCATTCCCTCCGTTGCGCCTGACCTGTCCACCCTGACGCTTTCGAGGTCTGGCCAGGTTTCAGCAGGAGCTGGTGTCGCTGGTCATTTCGCTCTCAGGAATGGGGTCCAGTGTGGCGGGGGCGTGGTGCATCTCCGGGGAGGGGGCGGCACCGTTCTTGCTGAGGCCGCAGGACTGGGCGGCGTAGTGGATCTGCCGCAAGGTGTCCAGAGCCTCCCCCTTGGCGAGCTTCAGGAGGTCCGCCTGGCCCTGCAGCACGTGGGCAGAGAGTCGTCATGCACGGCCATTTAGCAGGGCGACAGGGGGCAGAGGTGCACAGTGGTGGCTTAATGGTTAGGGGTTCGAATCCCCAACCAACAAGGCACCACTGAGGTACCCTGAGCAAAGTACCACCTCCAACTGCTGCTCCCTGGGCGGCTGAATTAGCTGCCCGCTGCTATGTCACAATGTCACATATGGCTTAAATGCAGAGGACACATTTCCTTGTTGTGCACTGTGCTGTGGGGTGTCAACAATGGCCACTGATCACCAAATTCTTTTCTAGCATGTCAGGGAACCGTGACTTTAATCTCTAATGCCGTGGTCACACACCTCTTTTCACCTGGACATGAGCGTCAGGTAACAGGCGCAAGCAAGACAAGCGAAGCTGTGCTGAAATCCACTAAGATCTCAGCACATCTGGGA